AAGGAGAATATCTCCCTTTTGGTAAGAGATCCCTTGTCAACACAATCTCATCCTAAATTGGCCCACAAGCATACGAAAGGCCATTTTAGCAAGCCTGAGTATGCGTATCACATAACCCGCCCACATCTCTCCCCCGACCTTGCCTCTTCCACTAGAAATAATCAAGTGCCTGCTAAAAACCCAATAACAATACCAATTAAGTGACAACGCCTGTCAATCCCTCAAGACTAATGGCAGTAGGCAAATCACCCGACATGAAACCCAAAAAGAAAATGGATTTTTATGTACCTCACACCCCTTCTTACACCTCAAGTCACACCAATAGTCCTTTTTACTCTGCTCTTTCCGATAGAGAACAACAACTCCCACCCCAAAACACAAGCCATACCTCCACTAACTATCACCACCACTCCAATGCCTCCAGAGCTCATGCCGGAGTCATGATTGGAAATGGCACTCTAAGGATATACCCAGAACCTACAAATGATGGTAGGGTCTATCCCGATGGAAATAACCATCCAGAACCCCAGGTACCTAGCTCGACTGGCCACTCAGCTCCTACACCAGGGTCTGGCGAACTTTGGCCACCAGTTGTGGTCGTCCACACTGCTACAAGCTCAGTACATAGGGAACCAACAACCACTATCTTTGGAGGAGATCACCACGCTCGTGGGCCAACTTTGCCAGACCATGTCATTCTTCCCCACCATGAACATGGAGACTCCAGTCCCATCCCAACCTTCCAACTATGTCCACCAATAGTTCAAGTTCCACAACTCGCCATCCCAACCACTCTCACCCACCGATCTGTTGAGTAGAGGGGCCATCATGGTATTGGACTTACTTAGGGAGTCCAATGTAGAACTGGAGAACATGCAAGAAAAACTAGGGATGCCAAAGACAAAGGCCTTCCTTATGCAAGAAACCCTGGATATAGAGTTCAAAGAGCAGTCGAAAGAAATTCTTATTGCTCTCTACCCCAAAAAACTCAGAAGTTGCAAACTCGATCTCCGAGTGCACTCATTGCTAAACTCAAAAAACTCAGCAGGGACTCTGGCCCCCCTAGTGGGTATGCTGATGCCGACCCCACTGAGCAAGGGGAAGGGAATCAAGAAGAAGGCTCTATCCAAAAACCCTTTGTTAATGAATTTCATAATATGGAACGCTAGAGGGGCCAATAGTGCTGAGTTACGTAGGCATTGTTCATCCATGGTAAAGTTCCATAGCCCTGCCATACTAGTCTGATGCCCTATTCCAATCCCTGCTGTTGGATAGTCTGGTGGGATTGTCCTTATGTTGAAGGATATTATGGTTAAGCTTGAGGAAGTAGCTACTCCACAACGGGTGCATGTAACGATCAAGGTACTCCCCTCCCCCACTAAATGGATTTTTTCTCCTATATATGCTAGTAACTGTTTTAATAGTAGAACTATGCTCTGGAAAACACTAGAGGATCTCTCTTTTGTCTACAGGGGTAGTTGGCTTGTTCGGGGGAGGGGGGATGGGGACTTCAATGAACTTCTAAAAGCCAGGGATAAATTTGGGGGAAATAAATTGAACACCAATAGAAGTAACAGATTCTGGAAATGCTTGAACAGTTGCAAATTAGTTGACTTAGGTTTTAAGGGCTCAAAATATACCCGATCTAATAAAAGATACTCCAATAAGAAAGACCTAACCTAGAAAGACTAGATAGGTGCTTTGCTACTGATGACTGGATTGAGGACTTTTCTAAATCAACTATTACCCATCTTCCTAGGACCATTCTGATCACTGTCCTCTCTTTTAAGTCTAATCCAGCAAAGTCTGACCAGGCTCAAGAAGCCTTTCAAGTTTGAAGCTATGTGGACCAACCATCCAGATTTCTTTCCCTTTGTGGAAGATAGCTTCTCAGCCAATACTGATATCCTGAAAGCTACCTTTGTTTTTACCAATAGGGTGGCTGATTGGAATACTAATGTGTTTGGCAACATTTTCCATAGTAAAAGGCACATCCTTGCTAGGCTTTCTGGCATCCAAAGGTCCAATGCATACCCCTTCAGTTCCTTTCTCCAGGAACCTGAAGCTAAGCTACAACATGAGTTCTTTATCATCCTTAGGAGTGAAGAAGACTGGAAGCACAAATCTAGAATTAGCTAGTGAAGTGAGGGTGATGCTAACACTAAATTCTTCCATATATCCACTCCTAACAAAAGAAAGAGAAATATGATCATGTCTTTAAAAGATGAAATGGGAACCAGCATTCAGGACCCAAATGATATTAAAGACACAATCCTTAACTACTTCACCACTATACCACTGAACACCACAACTCAATGCTGAACAATACCCACACTACTGATTGTATCAATGTCCTGTCTACCAGGGAGCAGAGCACCATTAACTCCACCCTTAGGCTTGTTGAGATCAAGCATGCTTTATTCTCCCTCAAGTCCTGAAAGGCTCCTAGCCCAGATGGCCTCCACCCTTTCTTCTACCAGAAATACTGGCACATACTTTCTGGCAAGGTAATCCAATTCTGCCACACTGTCTTTTCTACTAGCATCATCCCCAATGAAATAAAAAAAAAACCAACTTCTGCCTCATCCCAAAATGCCAGAATACCACAATGCTGAAAAACTTCAGACCAGTTGGTCTGTGCAACACAATGTACAAACCGATCACCAAGATCATTGTACGTCTTTTTAAAAAAGTCTTTTACCACTTGAGATAGTATACACGCGCAACATGGGTATCATAAGACTAGTACCATTTAAATTAGGTGAAAGAACTAATTTGTACATGGGACGATATGGATAATATAAATATTTGTCCTCTTTTTTTCTCCTTTTTTTTTTTGTTTTCCTAATTTTATCACGGGGATATAAAAAGTTTTTTGTGGAGAGTGATTTTGAATGGAATACGTGATGAAGGACCCATCTTTTTGACACTCGTGGCTCATCTACTCAATTATTATTCTTCTGCTATAGTACTTTTTTTTTTTTTTTTTGCATTTCTTGATTTTCTAATTATTTTATTGTTTATCCTTCCCATTTCCAAGGCTGAAAAATTCATTGGTCATGCACTGACTACCCCCATCACTCAAATCTGGGGGCCAATTCGCTATCATTTTATCCTAACGTCAAATAATTGTTTTCTTTAATTACAAGATATTACATATTTAATAATATATTTAATCATGATATCGTATAAATGTGTTTACAAAAATAAATTGAAGATAATTCCTTAATATTCTAAAACTTTAAATTGACAAATTCATAAAATTCAATTGTTACGGAACTGATAAAACTACACTAACATAGATATATTGTAATAGTTTTTTGCTGCCTTGAACATGTTAAACTAGTTTGTTTAAATTAAAAAAATTATTTTCCGTAAATACTTTTGGACCAAAAAACTCAAACATGAATTTACAAACTCTAAAACAAACACTAATAAATTTGTAATCATGATTCATGCCTTTTGTTCCTCTAATTATTCCCTATTGCACTATTTTAAATTAAGAAAATTCTTTTGGCCCATTGAAAATTCACGTGTATAAAACTAAAATAGGCTCATCTCTCGACTCTCGAGTCTCAACTTGGCACTAAATGCTACGTCCACGTAAATGAACGGGGCGAAGCTAGGTGGGCGAAGAGCTTGAGTCGAACCCCTTTGCACAAAAATTACACTATATATACGGGTCAATTTTTTTAGAGGAATTTTTAGAAATGACTATTGTTTAGTGGCTATTAACTTGTTATAGCTACCATTTACTTAATTACTTCCTATAGCTATGTTTTCACTTGTTATAGAGTGTATTCGATGTATTCAAGTTACTGTATTCATGAATACGGAGGTAAAATTTTCAATTATATTGAGTCTCTTTAACTTTTTCGTGTGTTATACTTTTTTTATTTTTTAAATTACCTACGCAAAATAAATGAAGCAAGCAAGGAATACGCACAGTGCTGTACAGAATGAATTACTATTGGTTTTGGTTAGTAGAGAATTAAACCGTATTTCGATTTTTAATTACTACTGTATATCTTTTTCTTATTTTCTCTTTGGCTTTTTTACACCTTCCGAAAAAAATCCACTTATTATTCATCACTTATTTCTTCAGCTCTAACATTAGTCACGTGAAAAACATAACATTTTTTCATTAATTTTATTTGCTCATTTGCTTAAAGATAATACACAATAAGGATAAAAATAAACCTATCTTCAAACTTAACCATTTGAGTTAAAAACTTAACCTGTCTTTATTCACACGGACAAAAAGATTAAAAAAACCATAACCACAGGCGCCAAAGGCGACAGAAATGGTCAGACTGTGACACTGAGACTCTTCACTCCTACAGATCACTAACAATACCCCACTGCTCTCTCTTCAAAAAAGGCCTTGTTTTTTTTAATTTCATTATTGGTCCCGAATTGGATTGACTAATTTAGATTTACATTGCATGAATCTTATCATGGAATTTAGTGTTCCATTCATTCTTATAGCTCAAACTCGAGAATTTTAGTTAAAAGTGAAGGACACTTTCTCATTTCATTATACTCTTTGATAATATTTTCAAAAACTTCTATTAAATATGTATACACTCATGATGTAAAAGAATTTTTAGAATATCGAATAAATATACTCTAATTAACTGATAGTAACTACCGAAAACAAGTAGAATAAGTAACTTGGAAAAAAAAATAGATAATCTACTACTTATAACAGATTAAATTAAATTATTGATAATGGAAGTTCATTTTATATATAAGTTAAATTAATAAACCATAGCCCACGTCAGCCTCCATTTTAGTCATTGACCAAAGTTCAAACTAACCATGGTTAGTAAAATAGCTCTTTTCCTTATTCCCCCTATTTGTCTCACTTCTTTTTTCTTCCTTACTCTTTGTTTTCACCTTATTATTTTGTCCTTTCTCTGCTAAACAGCTGGTCCAGCCAATTATAATTCGTACTATTTTGTAGTACTATATATTAAACTAGTAGTAGTTTCTTTTCTAATAAAATTGTTTTCCATGTTGGCAGCAAGAGGGGAAAAAAATAAAGTTTTGAATGAATAGATAAGCCAAGAAAAAAGAAAAAGGAATGATTTGCTAGGTAGCTTCTAATATTTCATATATTTAATACTGTAATTGACTCTTGTTTTCTATTTCAACTGAAGTCTCTTTCTCTCTCTATGGTTTTGTATGAAAAGATAGAAAGTTCTGCTTTTGTGTGGATTGATTCATAGCACCACAAAGAACTACATATCATTTATTTCTTATGATTATTGGCTCTAGCTTCTCAGAAAAGTAAGTTTTTCATTTCTTTACTTTTTATTTAATGTTTTGCTATTGGTATGTTGTGTCTTCATGTTTTGGTTTATTTGGGTTGGTTTGGGGTGGGGGGTGGGGAGAGGGGTTTAATGGTATATAAGTATATGCAAAACAGAGCACCAGATACCTTAAAGATTTGATTTTTATTTCTAGGTAGTTGTGAAATTTGGATTTTGTTATCATATGTTATAAGGCTATATAGATGTATGCAAAAGAGAGCACCAGAAACCTTACAAGATTGAATTTTTTCACTTGCTAGTTTTCAAGATGAAAAGGGAAGCCTCTGGTAAAATTGCGGGTGATTAAGAGGTTATGAGTTCGAGCCGTGTAAATAAACTCTTGTAGAAATATAGGGTAAGGTTGCATAAGATAGATCTTGTGCTTCGGCCCTTCCTCGAACCTGTGCATAGCAAAAACTTTATACACCACGCTACCTTTTGATAGTTTTCAAGATTAGATTTTGTTATATGCAAAAGAGAGCACCAGAAACCTTAAAAGATTGAATTTTTCTCGCTTGCTAGTTTTCTAAGATTAAAAGGGGAGCCTTGGCGTCACTGTTAAAATTGCTGGTGACTAAGAGGTTACGAGTTCGAGTCGTGTAAATAGTGTCTTGCAGAAATGTAGGTCTGACTGCGTAAGATAGACCCTTGTGGTTCGGCTCTTCTTCGGAGCCCGCGCATAACGAAAGTTTTGTGCACCAAACTGTCCTTTTGATAGTTTTCAAGATTGGATTTTGTTATCATATGTTTATAGATATATGCAAAAGAGAGCACCAGAAACATTAAAGATTGGATTTTTATTTCTTGGTGATTTTCAAGATTGGATATTGTTTATCATATAATCTTTTTTAAAGACTGAAATAGCTTAGTGGGTTGTGAAAAGATTGATGGGAAAGAAGAAAATTGTGAAGAAGACAAAGGAGTTATCAGTAGCAATAGCAGAATCATCAGCAATGAGTGGAGACTCTCAACAACAACAGATTACTCCTAGGAAAAGAGGAAGACCAAGGAAAATTATTGTAAAAGATGAAGAAGAGGCAACTGGAGAAGTAAAGAAACTCAAAACAAATGAAGGTGAAGAATCAGAAAATAAAGGAGCAGAAGGAGAAAAGAAAGAAGCAGAAGAACAATCTGAAGAGAAAAAAAATTTACAGCCACAAAATCAGCAACCTGCAGCAAGGAGCAGAGCTAGAAGAAAAAGCAAGCCAAGAAAGAGCTGCTAAAAATCAATTTCAAGTATGTCATTTTCTTTGAAGTAGAGTCTTGACGCAACGGTCAAGTTGTTATAGGTCACGGGTTCAACCCGTGGAATCGCCACTGATGCTTGTATCAGAGTAGGTTACCTACATCACACCAAATGGGGTGCAGTTTTGCCGGACTATGCGTGAACGAGGGATGCTTTGTGCATCGGACTGTTTTTTTTTTTTTTTTTTTCGCCTCATTTTCTTTGTGGGTAATTTTTTATCCTTGTGTTGTTAGGATTTTTATTTTAGTATGTCCATTTTAACTGTGAGAAACATTTTGTTAGGAAGGAAATGGTTAGCTTTTACACTCTGGATTGAATTATTGACTGTAATGACTTTTGTGTAAAGTGTGCTCAATTCAAGAAAGTTGGATAAACACTCTGTATAGACAAAATTTCATGCAGTTTGGCACTTTTGATTAGGATGTGCTCTTCTTTGAAAAGGAATGAGAAAAGAAAAGGAAAAAAAAAGGCAAAATAAGTTGCATGATCAGCATTATCAAGAGTTTAATTTTTATATATATTTCGTAAATAAAAGAATTTTTACACTATACCGTTTATAATAAGTGGAGTAACAAGCTGAAAGCGAGACAGGTAATTTGTTATAGATTTGCGCAACTTTTTTTTACCATCAGCATATATATAGTAAATCATTTTAGTATATTATAAGTAGCTTGCACTCTTGTACTTCTTTTTTTTTTGGTTCAAGTTGCACTCTAGTACTTATTTAGCTGATTCTTAATTAAAGAAGATGTTAAAAACTTTATCGTTACAATTTATGTGATGTATTTTTTTCAGAAAAAAAAATAAATTTTTCTAAGCACCAAGTCAAACAGTACCACATAAAGTAAGACGGAGGGAATAAGAACTTTCCTTTTATTGGTTGCAGCTTTTGCTAAAGAGCAATTTGTGGGGATTTTGTCAAGAAAGATGTATGCTTTGTTTTTTATATGATTTGTGGCTAGGGGGATGTCATATTCGTTTAGGCAGACGTGAAGCATTTTCCTTCTCTGAATTCTGCACTGATAATCTGATCATTTATTGTGTCTGCACTCTGCAATATGAGGCTGTCTCATCTCATGTAGCAATAGGGGTCGGGTTGGTTCGGATTTTACAATTATCAAATTAGACCAATTGTGTCGGGTTATTAAATCTAAAGACCAAATCAAACCAATAAAACTTGGATTTTTTACTCTCGGGTTTTTTTGGGTTTTCGGGTTATTCGGATTTTTTCGGGAGGTTTTCCAGTAAAATCTTCGTAGAACAAAACATATAAATTGTGCTCAAAAATATTTCTTTAATCCTAGTAAGATACAACAATATAAATTTTTCAAGAAAATAATACAAAATATGAGATGTGTCATGGCATTATCCTAAAATACTCAACAATAAAGATAATAAAATTATGTAATATAAATATTGCTAATTAAAAAGCCATAATAAAAATAAACATAATCTAAAAGTATTACGTCATGCTAAAATAAGGGAGTATTAATTACATGACTAAACGCTAAAGAAAAAATAAAAATAGGTTATGCATTTTTATCTAAATTATTGCAAAACAAAAAATAGATATTCAATATATTCCCGTTCGTAGTATTGAATTGAATGTCTTTTGTTAGCATTAGTATTGACTTGATTTTGGTTTGGGCTTTTGTTAGCATTATTTAATTTACTAATGTTGAACTTATTGGAACATTCAAAAGTTCTAAGTCCAACCTTGAAATAATACCTTAAAAGATAAAATTATGAAATTTTTTAAGAAATATTTATAAATTACATCACAGTAAGTATATTTATATATTAAATATATCTAAGATTTCTATATATGTAATGTCGGGTTGGTTTGGTTTAAGTTTGACTTTCTTTAGTTAAAACCAAACCAAAGCAATAATGATCGTCTTTTTTCCAACACCAAATTATAGTCGGGTTTTTTTTTCGGTTTGACTCGGATTATCGGGTTGGTGCGATTTGTCGGTTTTCTTTGTAAACTCCCATGTAGCAATATGATTTCATTTACATTTTTACATAGAATCAGACTAAATCAAATGTGAAATTTTTCTGCATCCAATTTTTTAAAAAAAGTTATTCTAGTCTCCCATGACTAGTTATGTTTAGTCTTATTGTATGTGATATTATAACATTATTACTTATATACGTACCAATGAAGTTTACAATGAGTATTAAGGGGTCGTTTGGTATGATGGATACACAAAAATAATCTTGGGATAAAAATTTAGTACCGCGTTATCCCTTGTTTGGTTACTAATCTTGAGATAAATTATTCTAGGGTTAAAAGTAGTACCAGAATAACTTATACCTGCCAGAGGATGAAATAGTAATCCCAAGATAGGTTATGCCAGGATAAAGTAGTAAACTTGACAATCCCAGGATTAATACAACTTACCAAACAATTAATAAGAAATAATATCAGGATAACTAATCCCAATAACTAACTCATCATAATCTGTCTTCATACCAAACGACCCCTAAATTCTTTTCCAGTCAATATTGATGAAGGTGCTAACTAGGGGTGTCAATGGTTCGGTTCGGCCGGTTATCTTAATAGATAGGTAACATATTAATTTTTCGGTTATTATATTTTGTATAACCAAAATTAGACTTTTCGAAACGTCCAATTTATCTCAGTTCTCTTGATATCGTTATGGTTCGGTTAAATTTCGGTATTTTTCTTAAAATATCATGTAAGAGTCGCTAATAGAAGTTAGAACGCGATAAAATATTTACTTATTTAGGACTTTGGCAAACTTTTCTAGATATTTCTACAAACAACATAAATATGGAACACGCGATTTGGAATGTATTAATCAAGATTACACTCAAGAATATAGTCTATTAGAAGATTAAGTATACAATAAGAAAAATCTAAATCATAGGAGAGAAAGATATTCGATACCTTATGGTTTACTACTTAAGATTGCTGGAATACCTTGCTACTCAACATGATAGCTAGAACTAATTTAGTTCTGATAGGAGTAACATAATATGTTTGAGAGTTGAGACTTTGGGCTTTAATTACTTGTTAGCTTGTAAACGTTTCCATAATCACAAGGCCGAAAAAAAAATTACCCCATCTGTTTCAGTTTAGATGATACACTTTCCTTATTAGTCCACTCCAAAAAGAATGACACATTTTTACAATTGAAATAATTTAACTTTAAACTCTTCATTTTGCCCATTTTACCCTTAGTGGGACACAAATGTCATAGCCCCCACAAAGTTTCTACCCTTTAAACTTTTAAGACCACAAGTTTCAAAAGTATTTTTTCCTCTCTTAAACTCCGTGCCGAGTCAAACTTTCTCATCTAAATTAAAACAAAGGGAGTAATGTTTTCTTATTTTTAAACTTAACTTAATATATAAAATATACTTTTCTTATATAAAATTATTCGGTGGCGGTTCGATATATTTTCGGTTTATTTTTATAAAATTAAAAACCTACCCTAATTATCGGTACGATTATAAGTTTATATAAAAACCTACCCCGGTGCACTAAGCTCCCGCTATGCGCGGGGTCCGAGGAAGGGCAGGTTCACAAAGGTCTATCCTACGCAACCTAACGTTTTATTTTACAAAAAAACTAATAATCGGTTCGGTTTAGTCTCACCCCCCCAGTGGTAACCAGCCTTGCCTCTGAGTATCAAGTGTTCATAGGAGGATAGATTTTGTCTGAAAACTCTGATTTATACTTTCATCTCATCTCATATCTTATCTTGCTTATTTCTTGTTCAATTGATGTCAATAACCTGTCCCCACTTATATGTTTTAAATGGTTCATTTTCTATACAATCTTTTTTTTTAATGGCAATTTCCATAAGACTGGTTAGAATATTTTTGCTTTTGCAATACTAAAACAAGAGAATATATTTCTCAAAATTTCATTTGGTAAAACAAGTTATTTATTTGAATTGGTAATGGTTACTCCTTCATCTAACATTTTATAGGAAATCATCAATAAACACAAAGTTATAACCTTAAAGAGTAATACAGATGTATCCAACCAAAAAAAAAAAAACGAAACCAATAAATGAAAAACCGGACGCATATTTATTTTGGTACGATATTGGTATAACATTTTTAAGACTGAAAAGCCAAAATACTAAACGACTGATGAACACCACTAATACAAGCTGGCTCTTTCAAAGGAGAAATGCAAGGAAAGCAAAATCTAACTCTGTGAAACAAAATTGTAAGCCATCAGAGGTAAAAAAAAAACTGCTTTGCACTTTCAAGAACCATTTTCTTTACGAGATGATTTGTGGTGTCGCTCTTTTTTATAACGCAATTGCTCTGGATCAAACCCGCCTTCCTCAGCTCCATAGACGGCCCAAGATGGTGTAGGAGCCATGTAATCCTTACTGGTAAAGGGTTCTCCAGACGCGACCTGTGGCACCATAGGTTTAAAAAACATTGATTACGTTAAAGGAAATGGGAATGTTATAGCTATAACCTATGTACTGAAAAGCTTGAACAAGAGAAGTAACCAACCAGGTCATGGAACTTCTCGTAGTCTATCCACGTGTACCACTGACCGTCTATCTTAAACTTATCGACTTTAGCCAGAAGAACACAGCAAGAATGCACATGCTCGCAAGCAACCTCATACCCTCCATTGCTCTTTTTAGCCAAGGCCTCAGAGAATTCCTTCACATCAGAGTGCCAAGGGACATTCTCCATTGTCAACTTTGATGTAGCCGACCTGTGTAAAATCCACCTGATTACTTAACTGAATTCACATGCACCGAGTTCTATAACCAAATCAACCTAGCAGAAGAGGGGGAGAAGAAAAAAGAAAAGAGGGAGAACTTACGATCCACAGTAAGTGACACCTTTGATTTCAATGAAATCAGGTTTTCCGATGCTGAATAGGTTAAAATATGCATCCACTTCTTCTGCATTCCACCCTTTAACAAGTGTCAAACGATAGACAGTTCTTTGCTCCTTCTCCTTGAGAGCTTTCAAGGAATCCTAACAAAATCAGAATAACAGAAAATCAATATTGGGCCAGTCTGAATTGAAGCATACAAATAAGAAATAACAGAAAATATGGTGTTTCCTGTGGCAGCAGAATCTTTTCAAGCACCGATGTAAAAGTAAGCATTTTAAACTTTCCACTCACTGGTATATCATAAACTACAGTTTGATACAGGTTGCTACGGTTTACTAGTGTGCAGCTGACAACTATAACTGTGTTTTTGGACTCTGCTTTCCCCTTCCTTTTTGATAAGGTCTGTTTTCCCCTTCCTTTTCGTCATCCGTTACCTTAATGGATATTCCTTAAATCTCTAGTTTTAATCAGAAAAATATTTCTTATTCATGATACTTACTAGAAAACGCTCCCAGAAGTCTCCAAATAGTGGTCTGTCAATTGCTTTTAAGCTGTCCTTTGTACCAGCATCTACACTGACATACAACTGTACATTTAAAGATGAAGCGAGATTTAGATATGGAAATTGGACGTTGACATACTTAAGAGATTGATAATAAAAAATAAAAATAAAAAGAACAATAATACAGCCTTGCAGACCTGCGTGATTGGTTTCAACAACTTAATCTTGTCAGGGAACTGTGCATTAGTTACTAGAAAAGTCGAAATCCGCCTCTTATGCAGCTCATCTACAAGTGAATTTATTTCTGGATACATAATAGGCTCGCCAACCAGTGACAAGGCGCAATGCCTAGGAGAAAGACCCTCAGACAAACGCTCAGCTTTAACACCTGCAAGGGTGGAATATTCTGGTCAACAGCGTACATTTAAAATACAACTCAACCAAGGTACATTTTCTTGGGTGGATACAGCAAATTCACCTAACAGAGTCATGTTAAAAAATCACCAAAGGATTTCAACCAAACACATTATTTCTCATGTGGCTTTACTCAACTTCCCCACATACAAGTGCATGTGCACCAAAAAACAAACCTGGAACGCCTTTCATCTGTTTTATCATTTTGGTATGCAAATCTATAGCTGTGTCCACAATCTCAATGGGGTCATCCATCTTCCACGTCCAGCTCTTCCCAACAGGGTTTGTGTGATGTCTCCAACAAAATACACATTTGTTCGCACATGCTAAACTAGGAGTAGCCTCCATGCACCTATGCAACAGGCAAAAATGCAAATTCAACTTTAAAATCAGCATACAGGATAGGAAGTCGATAGATATTGAGCGTACTATATGGGGCACAACATGTAAGTGCAATCGAAACTGATCATGTTTTGTACTTTTTGTTTCTCTTTTGAGGGTTCACTCAGCTACTTGACAGTAGATTTTCTAGTGAGGCCCTGTTTGGGACAATTTAAACTGTCATATCATTTACTGGTATATCAATCAACTTACATGCTTTATATGCACAATTCGTTTTCTATTCTACTCCTATTCCATATAACAGACTTGTCTAACAACACCTTTTTTTTTTTGGGTAAGCACATGCAAACATAATTGCAAAATTTCATTCTCTTATTCACTGCATGCTTCATCAATACTAGAGTAAAGATGATCACATCCACCTGTGACCACAGAGCTGCAACTTGGAGACAATGAGAATATTGTTGAAAGCTAAAATGCAATCCAGTCAACCGATGACCAAAGAACCAGTACACAACTCGTAGACAGAATATAGTAAAAATGTAAATGCTATAAACAATCACCTGTGACTCTCAATGCCATAAAATGAGTGCTTATAGCAACCTCCACGCCCTCTAAGTTGTGATTTTGTCCATCTACAAAGTTTCACACCACTATGCGAACCAATTATTTTATAGCCCTGCAATTTCATCGCAAAATAAACTATATTAACTATCCATCAAAATAATTAAACTAATTAATTTGATACGACAGAAGTTAGTTATTTGACCACGATACCTGTTTCACCAAACTCGCCCTAATAACTGGAGTTACCATTTCTTTCTCTCCATTCACAATATCACCATTCAACTTACCATTAACTAATTTATCTCCAACTCCTTTCTTTCTCGAAGGCCCTTTACCCGCAATATCCTCAAGATCAACAATTCCTGACTCCTCGTCATTTTCTTCAAACTCATCATCATCTTCCTCATCATCATCATCATCATCATCGCCCTCACTCACAACTTCACCTTCACTACCATCACCAACTCCATTCACCATATACCCTCCATTTTCCCCTAAATTACTCAAAACCCCAATAACTCTCTCGCTCCACTCACCAAACACCTCATCCAAATTACCCTCATCCACATCACCCTCACCCACCTCTAAAACCTCAACCCCACCAAGTTTCCTCAATTTCTTCGAAAAATCACGCGCCACGACATTAAATGTTTCACCATAAGAACCACTCCCAACTCCAAAGATTGCAAATTTACACTTACTAAGCAATAAAGAACCAACCCTAAAATCATCAACACTCTCATTTAACCAATCAATAAAAAACCCAGCATTTGAAGGTGGTTTCCCGTTTTCCCAGGTGGAAGCTATAATTAATACAGAGCTTTCTTTGTGCAAATCCTCAGGCTCGTAATCTTTTGGGTCAACGAGGTCAAAGTCAAATCCATTGAGGTTTAACAAACTGTGCAGATTTTTTGCTAGGGTTTTAGAAGTGCCAGTTTGGGATATGAAGAAGATTTTACCTTTAGGGGTTTTAGGGTTAGGGTTTAAGGATTTGAGGCGTTTGAAGAGATGACGGCGGGATTTGTAGAAGAAGTAGACTGTGGTAGCGGAGAGGAGCGTGAGGATTGCGAGGCGCGTGGGGTAAGAAGACAGGGACGGGGACATGGTGAGTATTTTCTAAAAGGGAGCTTTGATCTGTCCGATGTTACATCTCAGTGCATCAATGGCGGCAAATGTTTTTGAGGAAAAAACGTTCTCTTTTGAGCTTCTCTTTATTTTCTTTTTTTGGATGAATAAATAAAATATTTTCTTCTTTAATGATTATCGAAATTAATTACCAAGCAGGAATACAGTTTAATAAACTGAAAAGAATTAAAAAAAATTACCGGGTTAGTAATTTAGCTCTATCTATTTTCAAGAGTAACCTATTGAAACATAGTAATCCTAGTCGTCTCTTTTTGTTTTATCATCTGATTAATTGACCTAATTAATTTGAATTCGCGTAATATAAAATCTATTAATTTTTATTTTTAAATTCGAGATTTTTAGTTAGAAGGAAGAAACTCATTGCTCCTACATTTTTCTTTCTTCCTATTAACGTGTCCAGGTTCATCCGCTACTTACTCTTCTCTTAGAAGAATTGAGCTCAATTAAATATTTTATTGACATAATACATGTGAGATCCCTTTCTCCAACTAATTCTTGAAAAGATAGTATTAAATTTCATTTTAAACAAAACGAATGTAATTTTTTTATTTAACAACTTTACTTGGAAATAGTTATTTCAAATTTATCCTTTTTTTTTTTTTTTGCAAGTTGGAAGTTTGTTTAACAAGTTTAGGGAAAGTATGTGAACTTTAACTTGAAATAATAGTGGTCTGAAGTTTTATTTCAACTTCAAATAATTATTCAAAATCCATAACATGAAAGAAATCAAACTTCTTTTATTTGCTTCTATATTTTCTGTATTTTAACATTATGCTGAATTTAAGTAAATGGGGAATAGCGAAAACTTGGCCAATGACCTCTGAATCCTTAAAAATGACCAAATTTTCTTTAAACCTTTTGATCAATTAGCAATATTTCAAGGAACTTATAAAAATAATCGACGTATGTGACAAAAATCAAAATAACAAAAATATCAAGATATCATTTTCATTTTTTTTTTTTTTTGCATTCAATTATTTATAACATGTTTGCTTTGATGTTTCCTCAATATTCGTCAAGCTCATAACGTACAACTAACTCCAAAATCATTGATGATAAAAAAGGACAACGGTGCACGAAGCATTTTACAGGGTTCAGGGATAAACGCACCCCAAGGGGTGTAATGTAGGCAGCCTATCACTAAGCATCATTGGCATCACTGGCCGATTGTTTCAATGAAATAAAGCCACTAAATACCTATACCAAGATTCTTGTGGAGGACTCATGTCATGCAAATTCTCAGCTGGTAAACTAATCATTAACAATTCTTACAAGTGGGGTCTGGAGAAGGTAATGTGTATGCAGACCTTACCCCTACGCTGGGAGGTAGAGAGACTGTTCCGAAAGACCCTCAACTCGAGAGGAAGAATAAAAACAAATAAAAATCAACAAGAAGCCAGCGAAAAAACAAATGGAAAAAAGCAATAGCAACAGGTAGTAACATGATAGGGTACTAGAAAACTAAAGCGGAAGATAGTACTAAAAGCAACTCTAATACTAGCACTCTAAGAATCGAAGACTAGTCGGCTAGCCTAATAAATCCGGAACAGATCGGAAAAACACACTACGACCTAGTACCCTTCTACAGTGCAACAAAAGAAGTAAAGAAACCACATCATAGTATTACGGTTCATATGATACTCTAACAACGGACATGAGGTTGGGAAAAAAAACATATTACAATTATGCACAAATGTTCGATTCAATCAATGCACTAGTTGTTACAAGAGATCATTACTTTTCCAGTATGTAAAGACTGAGGCCAAGAAATCGGTACAAGAAATCGCAATTGTTAGCAGTAGTGACAATGTGTTACTCAACGCGTATAGACAAATCTCGAATGGATAAACAGCAGATCTTGTAAAGAATGACTGTAAGACTGGAACCGTATGTGGTATCCTTCTTGCTTATCCAAATAATCAAATGACTTGCCTCGAAACTTCTGCAGGGAAGATCTGGAAAATGGAAAGCGAAAGATTTGCTCCATTCATCAAGGTCTCCACATGGCCTTTTGTGCACAAAGGATGCCTTCCTTATCTTTTGCGAATGTCATTCGTATCTCCCAATGCAAGCTTCTCAATATACTCTCTAGTGGATCAAGTATTTCGACCTTGTCACGTATAATTGCCCAACCACCAGGCCGCAATATGCGGTCCATCTCAACTACAATCACTATGGGATGCTTGCACCTGCAATGAATGGTCATGAAAACAAACCACTTTAGCTCTACAGAAAAATTTAAAGTCTATAAATGGAAAGTTTGAAGCTTTACTCCCACTAGGTTCCGACTTCAGATGGAGAAGTAATTCTAAAAGCTTTAAAGGTTTGTTTACCATTATCATACTTTAGTAAGATAGCACACAAAAAGTATAGGAATTATGTAACTGAATAGTATAACTTATTTAATGTCATGAGTGTTCCAAAATAGCAAGTGTGTGGAACATCAAGAAGAATGACAAACAGAATAATCTCTATGGTTAGACTCCAAAACCCTATGGCGTCCGAGGAAATATCTGGGATAATAAACAATATAACCAGAGTATGGTGGGATGCCAGAAAAGATTTTGGATGTGATTCCTGTTTAGTATCAAGGGAACAGCAACAACTAGTCACCTTTACTCATCTGCTATTGACAGCGTATCCCTATCCTTTTTCCTTCTTTTTAACAGAAAATGAATCTTTCTAAGCAGTAGAACATCATTCAGGTGGACATGGGGAGGGAGGAATACGCATGCAGCCCCCTTGCAACTGCTTGTATGAATCTCCTTTCGCATTAATTATGACGACTAGGAATGAAATAGACCATAAACCTCATGGGTTTAATCCAAACATCAAGAAGCAAGTCAACCTTAATATTGCAACAAAAGTTCAATGGGGTAAACAAAATAGTGGTCAGTGAAGCATTCATGCCAAATATAACCAAGTTTGCTACGCCATTAAAAGTCAATTTCATAGTTTAAACTGAAATGACCTACAGCACCACATTGATGTCCCAATATTAAAGTTATAAGAACAATTACTTGTGCACTAGGATTGGTGAAAAGAGAATGATCCATACAAAATTAGGAGGGGAAAACTGAACGAAGTGAACAACTAAAGGCGAAAAAGTCACGCTAACCTGTTTTTAAGCCTTGAGAAGAGATGATCTGCATGTAGAAGGTCATACGATCTCGGATAAGTACCAAATGCCTCGCACCAATCGTGGTACACGCCAACAAGTCCTCGCTCAAAGACTATGGGAAGGGTATTTGGTGCATGTACAGGAATCACATTCATCACCCACACCTTGTGCTGCGCAAGGGCAGCTGCAAATCTGTGTATTTTTTACTCAGTTGTTAGCATCCTTGTTGCGGCACTAGAATGCATTACAATATTACAATCAGAAGAAGTGGAAGAATCAATAGCTTACCCTCCATTGATGGCTTTCATATCCATTACATTCCGAATGTTGGACCAATCAATACCCAAGCCAACTAGATAAGAATTGTTAACAATAGCGTTCCAATGCTCACTGTCTGCGACCAATTTCTCTCTATTATTCATCCAGTCCGGAAAAGTTTCAAGTCTCTTTGGCCATTCCTCAGGCCATTCTGTTCCTCGTTGTTCTATGGATTCAGGAATTGTATGCAAGCAAGATCTTATTGGCACATACCTGTTACGGATAAATCAACTAAAATTTAACATTTGAGAGTATTAACTATTAAGAAAGACACAGGAACAGTGATGAGTTGTGCACTTATTTTGCCAAGATCACCCGTCTATATGCAGTAGTGCAAGTATGTGCGAAGGAAAGTAACATTGACCAAAGAGAGCAAAAGAGAGAGACAAGTATTGCAATACAGGCTTTTGCAGCTCACCAGGAAGCATCTGGGTTCTCATTCGCTTTGCATAGAGGAGGAACTTTTTTCCTTCTCAATTGATATATGTCATTTGCTTGTGGTTTTTGGTATAACTTAATCCTGATATCACTGATTTCATCAGTTTTATCAGCAAGGATATTCCAACAAATTGAAGCTGTCAGCGTTGACATAGCTGGAGAAAAGGTAAATATTATGAGAATGAGTCCTCTACAAAATGGGCTATCTTAAATACATGCTTAAAAAAAGTAGAACACGCAAAATTGAAAAGCTTAAAAAGATGAACCATATCATAGATCACACAATGAAGGTTCATCTTTCAATTTCCGCACACGGAAAAAAGTCTTTATAACGACGCAAAAGAAAATCAAGCTACACGTCAGAAAATGATCCAACCATCCAAATTGGGAGTTTCTTCAGTGAAACTAATGAGTTTAATAGTAAGTCTTTTGGGAGTGATATGAGAATATCGGAAAGTCATCATTGTCAAGAACAAGAAGCTTGAGATGGAACGTGAAAATAGAGGGGAGGACTTCATGATTCCACAAAAGTATCCGCGACGGTGGAGGACAAGCGTCCACTTCCGAAATGATTTTACTGTAGGAAAATACGGTGCGCTAAAGGCCTTGTTACCACCATTCAGGAAGGTATTTACTCGTTGGAGTAAAACGTGCAAAAGTATAATTAAACCGCCTTTAACTACCCTGAAGAGAAAAAACACAGAACCAAAAGCTGTTTTCCTTGACATAAATAGAGGACAAACCTTCTTCAACTTCAATGCTACTGTGCTTTGAAGAGAAAATAAAATAACCTCCGGGCCTCAAAATTCTGTTCATCTCTATAAGATGCTTTCCCCCTGAAAGTAAAACTAATTTAAACCTCCAGATATTATGGACAAAGAAACAGAAACAAAAAAAAAATCTCTAGCCTAGTAACTTTAACACTAACCATTAGAATGCCAAGATACACGGCAATCACTACAGTGAATAGCATCAAAGACGCCACTAGGAAAGGGAAGCCTCCGAGTTCCGAATGGGGTAACTACTGCTGGAAAACCACGCTCAAGCGCAACTTGTGCTAGGTCCACTAGGTCATCTTTTAAGCCTAGAGTAAGTGTTAATACACCTTTCTCAAGTAGAGAAGCCCCAAAGCTTGAATCTTTACATCCAATATCCAGCACTACACGGATGTTCTTCCCCCATTCAATGTCTGGTACCATCTATCAATCTCCAATATCAGTTCGCACATCAAACACAAGTAGATATTTTGCAGTTAAAATTTCAACTGACATCTAATTTAGTAAATAATCATACAACAGATAGCAATATTATCTCAAACCATCCAGACATACACATTGAATCTAAATCTAACAACTTCAACCAAAGAAACATAATTAACAAAGATTTAACCAATTCCAGATCAACTACAACCAGCTACTGCACCAACATTAAACATGGTCAAGGCAAGTCATCTTTCATCTTCTCAACTAACGGAAAAACATCATGCTTTTCAACTGTAGTATGAGGACTCATAGACAATGTTGGACTCTGTCACTTCAACCATATTTATGAAGTTTTGTTGTATAAGATAATCATAAGACCTTTGAGCACTAAGACTGCTAGAGAAACATGAGTCAACAAAGGAACTCACCTCTTCTATGAAATCTAGATAATGCTGAATTCCACCTTTGGGCATAGATTGGTTCAACGGAAAAGTGAGATATTCTCCAGACTCCACCACCCAGCTTTCTGTCTTAACAAACGCTGCTAATTTCGGGTGTGCCACATTTTTATAAAGTATCTGTAAATATTACTATTAACTTAACATAAGAAAGAAAGAAGAATTAAGCTGTATTTAATGAAGATGGGCTTGAGTTCTCATACCTTTGACTTACTTTCAGGCCAGCTTACTGGAGTTTCATAACCATCAGGAGGAAGGGGAACAAGACACATTTGAGGTGCTTTAGGACAACTTCTTTCGTGATGCCGAAAACTATGCAACTTTCCACTGACACTTTCAATGTCAATGCAAGGAATGTAATTGTGCTTGCTTCTAGTACTACACAAATTCCAAGTATAATGTACTTTGGGATCAAATAATGGTCCTAAATTCTTCTTCATTTTCTTCTCAGTATCTCTAGAATTCTCATCCTCATCTTCCACTTTATCAGCAGCCTCTTGATCCAACTCCTCAGAATTAGTCAATTCACCATTTCCTTCCCCTTCCTCATTACCATCTACTGCACCTTCTTCATCTTCGTTATTAGTTTCTGTTTCCTCTTTCTCTTTACCATCTACTGCTTCTTCTTCTTCTCCTTCTTGTTTATTATTGTTTGAATTTTCTTTGACATTCTCTTTACCCTCAACTACTTCTTTTTCTTCTTCTTGTTTCTTGTTTTCTATTTTCTCTTCCTCAGTTTCAGATCCTCCCAAAATTTGATCTTTCACCTCATCAACTTTTTTGGATAATTTCAGATCCTCACCCTTTCTTTTTCTATCAACTCCACTTTTCTCATTTTTATGCCAACTATTACCAGATTTTGAAGGCAAAGAACCATCAATTTTTTTCTTTTTTTCACCTGAACTTGATCTATGTTTCAATTTCTTATCTTCTTTATTAACTAAATGACCTTTATGGGGTTCTGTTTTTTTGGTAGAAGGAACTAAAGAAGTAACCTTTTTTCTATTTGCAGATGAAATGGGTTCTCTAATATCATCAAAGTTTTCTCTTTGATAAGTTATTGAATAAGAAGAAGGTGAAAAAACAGACCAAATGAATACAAAACAAAGACCCAAGATTACTACTGCAGCTAACTTTACACCTAATCCAAAAGATTGATATGAACCCTTTACCTTGCGCCCAAATCTTGTTAAAGTTGTGCGCTGCTTCCTCATTGAAGTCAATGGAAATTCAGAGACATTCCCAGAATTTTAGCCTATTTGCAGAAGTTGAAAAGAAACAAACAAAACAAATCTTGGAAGCTGAAGAGAGAAATGATAGTGAAGTTCTAACTAGAAACTAAAGTTAAGTGAAGTAAAAGCAAGATTCATTAGTAGATATAAAAATGTTTATTTTTGGGAACAGTCAGTATCTTGGTAAAAGGATAAGTTTAAACATAGAGATTACCCTAGTTATAATGTAATTAATGTTTAACATGCTGAAAAAAGATGGTGTTTATCTGGGGTTTGTTATTTTGGTTTTGTAATTAGCAATTTTCATTTACTTGATTAAGTAACAAAGAAAAGTTCTTGGCAGGGGAAAGAGGAGTTTAATTAGTTTGTCGGATTTCCAACATGCTCTACCAAATCGAGTGTCGTGTTGAATTTTTTGGCTGAATACAGCAGTTCGGTTTAAGGAGTTATAACAATTTTTTACGATTTAAAAGAAAACATTTTAACCGTAAAAGTTGATAATTTATACAGTAGTATAGTCAAATATTTTTATAACAGATTTATTCGTCCCTAATTTTTTGAGCTGCTACAGTAAAGTGTTGTTATTAGGAATGGGCATATTTCGGTCAGAACTGAAGAAACCGACCTGAACTAAAAATATTTTATTTCGATTTTGATTATTCGGTTTGTTCGTCAGTTTCGGTTTAAATCTCAATTTTTCGATTCGGTTTTCGGTTATTAATTTATTTGGTTCCGTTAACCGATAAATCAAATTATTAGCATATAGGTTCTTTAAGTTATATATAGGCTAAGCCCATAAGTAATAAATTAACACTATTAGGTCCAATCTATCAAAGACTCAACCCAATTAAGTAAGTCCATCATCTTCGCAATCTTTAAGACTTTTACTCTATTAAAACTTCCATAGCATATATGATAGTATACCGGGAGGATTTCACACAGAGTTGTAATTTACAATATATTTGTATTTTATGATCCATAATAGTGTGCAAAGTTTAGTCTATTTTTTTTTTTTTATAAACACAATATTTCCAAGAAGTCCGAAGTTTTGGGAAAAAAAAAAACAAAAAATTCGCCAGTCCTATTATTAGATAGAAGGAGCCCAATATGACAATGTTCAAACCGAAAACCAAACCGAAATAAATCAAACCGAAATTAGAAAATCGAACTGAACCGAACTTATTTCAGTTTGGTTTCGGTTACTACTTTTACAAAACCGAAAACCAAATAACGAAACCGAATTTCTTCAAATCGAACCCATCGAACACCCACCCCTAGCTATTATAGAGGACATATATTATAACATATTATAATATTCGGTTCGAGAATAACTCAATATTTATAATAAATGATTATTATTTAAGGATATTATTATAGAGAGGTCTTACTGTATTTTATTAAATAAAACTTTCAATACACAATCTTAAAACTTGGATATATTGACTCTTGTATTTTGACTTCTGTTATTCTCTTAGGATAAAAGAAATACAGTAATAAAAATTTCAAGCTCATTTTGCTATAAAGTAGCAGTAGACTTGAGTATATTGACCTCAAAAGACTCGTTTCTCGAGTTAGGTTAAGGTAGTTAAAAAAAATTGATCAGGGTTGTTCGTAAAAACTCGAAAAATAAAATTAAACCGATCAAAAATAAAATAATAATTTTTGGTTTGATTTGGTTTTGGTTTCGAATTTGAAAAACCGAACAAATTTGATTTGCTTTTGGTTTAAATCAAAAAATAATCGAAAAAATCGAACCAAACCGACTATAGAAGTAGCTATTTAAAATTTATTATTATACCTATATATGTATATTATTATACAAAGTTTCTAAAAATTTATGGTACATGTTAATCGTTTGCACTTTTAGTCTAGTTCTTTGCTATTATAATAATTTAGTTCTTTGCCTTTACATTCTAGTTGTAGTTTTCTTTTGCTACGTATGAGAATCTATTTTTAGTTGAATCCTTAAATTATTCATCACTATTTAATTCAACTATCATCAATATATCTTGATAATAATAGATTTCTCAAAAAGCAATTGGTTTGATAGTGTTACGTTGAAAATGTAGTTGTCGAAATATGTGTTTGATAGTGTATATTTCATCTTTAAGGAAAAAAAGGTAAAAACTGGCAAAAATTGAAAAACTAACAAAACCGACGTAAACCGAATAAATAAAAAACCGACTTAATTGATTTAATTTGATTTGATTTTAATATTTAAAAAATCAACTTACTTGGTTAGATTTTTTTTAGGAAAAACCCATCTAAAGCGAACCATGAACACCCCTATTCACAATAAAATGCAAATTTAAATTGTATTAGGATTGCTCTATTTATCTTCAACGTTTAATACGAGCCATTGATTCTCTTATTCATTAATCAGAGTTAAATTAACATTTCATCAACATCTCTACCTATAATATGAAAATTTCTGCAAACCAACTTTAGAATCTATCTATATATTAGTAAAAGGAGAGGAAAAAGCCCTCTCCTTAAGCCAAGTGGCAACCTAAAAAAATGCCACATGGCGTAATTAGTTATTTAGTTTATAATTAGTTATTGGTTATTATTTTTGAATTTAAATATATATAAAACGAAAATAACAAAATAAAATAAAAAACTACCTATAACGTCATTTCTTATCCATTTCTCGGTCTTCCTTGTATGACCGTATCAAGGAGTGTCAGTATGAGGACCCGCATTTACTTGTCCTTAAGGACAGGGTTCGGCATGATGATGCCAGGGATGTGACCATTGGAGACGATGGTGTATTGAGGATGCAGGGCCGGATTTGCGTACCCAACGTGGATGGGCTTCGGGAGTTGATATTGGAGGAGGCCCATAGCTCGCGGTATTCCATTCATCTGGGTGTTGCGAAGATGTATCAGGATCTTAGACAGCACTATTGGTGGCGGAGGATGAAGAGAGATATTGTGGAGTATGTAGCCCCGTGTCTTAATTGTCAGCAAGTGAAATATGAGCATCAGAGACCGGGTGGCTTACATCAGCAGATATGGTTTTTTGTGTATATTTCCTTCTAATGCTTTGGTTGCTCTGTCATAACCAGAACTCTTGTTATTGATATTGATATTCATTCCTCTTGAAAGTGCAACATATAATTGTTCGTGCAAGAAAACATATTGTGATAAATATAGTCTAATATTTAGAAAGTTTATCCTTTTGCTTTATTTATTATAATTGCAAAATATAAATATACCAAAAATTATCCTTGTCAGTTAAATCTTTTTTTATTTGAGGCCATAAATATAATTTTGGAAAAGCTATTTTTTTACAGTCTTTGATTTCGTCGATTTTGTAACTATTGATAGTATATGACAGAAATCACCTTCCAAGCCATTAGTTTTTTTTACCAAATGGTTTACTGGTATTCAATATATCTCTAGGGGCAATTGTTTCGTCATTTAACACTTAGCCATAAGCGGTTCATCACATATTATCAATTTTGTTTTCCTTATAGATTTAGCATTGTTGCTCTGCTTTGACGTATTTGTGATGGTTATTTCAGTTGTTTGAAAAGGTATATCAGATCTAAAGTGAGTGGCCTCATAATAAAATCGTTGTCGGTACACCATTTGTTATTATTGCTAACAGTATCATGCCTCTTGATTTGACATTTGCAAGTAATGCATGACATAGAAATATTTTCGATTCCGCCGGAGGCATCTACAAAGGATAATCCCGTATAAAAGCCGACTCTTTATAATATAGTCTTGAAAGCTTGTTCTTGTTCATGATTTAGCTTTGATTGTGCTTCAACATACACTTGTATGGTTGTTTGATTCTTAATGCTATAATAATATTTTTTACTTTGTGTTCTAATTTTTTAATCTCTAACGCTCTTTCTATAGAATAAATGTATGTACCCTAAGATTTTTCTTAACTTGAAAAATAATTTTACTCATATGATAAATTTTAAAAATAATTGAATTGCATTCTCTTGCTAAATAATTAATTGAAAGATTTAATTATTTGGTCTTTACAAAAAAAAAATTGTTTATTATATGTTGATTTAGATTCTTATTATTAGTTCATCTCATGTTTTGAAGATTTAATCTTAATTATAATTTTATCCACCATAAATTTTCTTTTCAAAGAGTAAAGAGATCGATCTTATATTTCACGTTTAGATCTTTACGTTTGCAGAATCATTAGTGGTATTGCCTCTTACCAACCATTTTTCCTTCTATTTCTTACACATTTATATTTTTAAATATTTTCTTAGTTGTTGTTTAATAATTGGGTATATTTTTAAATAATTGATTAAAAATATATTATTTGAGTAGGAAAACAGCTTAAATATAATACAAAAATATATTATGGGGATATTTTTTCTCAATTTCAACGGCTTATGCAGTCCATTTAATATTACTTTTATTTTCTCTTAGTATTGGATATTATGGAGTGGTAATGTACTGTCAATATGGAGGATCTTTATGAAATTGATTTTATTAAACTTACCTACATATTTTTAATAAGAAGTTAATAGACAAATTTAATTTTTAAATATTAAATATTAAAAAAATTAATAGAAGGTCATGTAGTCCAAAAATATGGTATTTTAGTTATGTTAATATTATCTAATATTAATTACCAATTTTTATCTAATATTATCTAATTACAATATTATCTAATAGGAGTATTGAACTATTTTTTAAAATATTTTATCTTTCAAATCATAAAATTAGATCAATAGCCATGTATTCATAATAAATTCAGTTCGAATAGAAGCATGCACAAGAGTATTATTTCTTTGTTGTTAATTATTAGTAGAATTCATAAAGATATTTATAAACTTTAATAGGTTCGTATACTGTTAGGTTGTGGAATATATGGAATCCTACGAATCTTCCTACACGTGGGCTACATTAATATATTTTTGTTTAAAAAAAAGCCTAAACCAAAGTAAAAACCAAACCGGATACAAAAGGAAATATTACAATTATATCCAATACTATAGCTATATTTTATGGTTATTTTGCTAAATCGATATTTTATTCATGCTTTTATAATATATATATATATATATGTATGTATGTATGTATGTATTAATTGTTACTTTATTTGGATTAATAAATATAAATAGATATCTTATAATCTTATAATTAAATAAAAAAAATGAAAATAAATATATTTATTGGTTCAGAAATTGGTTCAGTTCTTAATAGGGCTAAATGAGTCCTATACTAATGTTAGGGGAAATATAATGATGATGCATCCTCCACCAAATATTG